CTTATCTATTTTATTTATTTATTTGATTGAAAAGTTACATTCAGCAACCTTTCAAGGTTATCAATGAGGGAGACAAACAATTTTGAATTGCACTTAAAAGCACACTGACATGGCAATTCATGTGCAAAGCTTTATACACATGGTATATTCATAGCTGCCTGATTTCCCCCTCCCCCAGTGTTCCCACACCATCAGCATTCTCTAGATCAGGGGTGTCAAACTTGCGGCCCATGGACCGGAGGCGTCATGCACAGGCCACGCCCACCCCAGTTCTGCAAATGGGAAAAACATCACAAAACATCACATGACAGCAACATGATGCAGCGAGTTTGACACCCGTGTTCTAGATGCTCTTCAAGGGTAGTTCCTCATAGAGCACATAGCAGTAATCCAGTCAGGAGCTGAGTGACCTTGAGTAGAACCTTCAATTAAAAAAAGGGCTCACCTGGCTCATAAGAATAAATTGTGCAAAGTTTTGGACATACCTGCCCCTTGAACCAAAGCTAGAAAGGGAAGGTTAGAAACAAGAGAAAAATTATTCAACCTGGTCAGATCCTATGATGGGAGCAAAAAAATCACCTTCTTTAGAGCCAGTGGAACTAAGCAAAATGAGCTGCAAGCAAATTAAATAAAAATAACGAATAAATTACCACCTCTCCCAGAGAAAAGATCACTGTTTTCAGGACCTAGTTGCATGACATTTCTTCAAAAGCTTTTGCTAGCTAGGAGGGCCATGAATCCAATGTATAGATAGCTGAGTTTAGACTATACATTTGGGGTAATTTTAACAGAACAACCATTCTTTGAAAGATTCGGTACTATTTCTCTCTGTGGATTGCTTAAGCTCCAGAGTTTCAGAAACAGGTTTTAAATATTTTCCAGACTGATATCAATGTTTTTTATGCATTCTTTTCTATTATTTGTATACCCAGATTCCATTTATAGATCAGGAGGACTCTGATGAGAGAAAATAAGATGCAATTAAGGTATCAGGCTAGAAATTGGGACACCATGAGTTTGAGTTCTGCCTTGAGCACGAAGCCAGTTGGGTGACCTTGGGCCAGGCACTTGGTCTCAGCCCTATAAAGATGGCAATGGCAAAGCACTACTAAAAAACATCAAGAAAACAGCAAGGATTTGTCTAGGCATGAATTGGACATAATTGAATACGAAAAAAATGATTCTGATAACATCAGTAAGGCTCTTTATAACATTCGGTGACAAAGATAAGCAAAAATGTAGAAATTCAAAAAGAAGGGAATACATTTTACAAAAATATACAGTGTTCCTTTATATCTAGTTGAAAAATAGGGTAATTGATTAAAAATAACTGAGCTCAGAAGACTATTTTTATAATTTTGTTATTTATGAATCATTATGCAAATTTATACGGTTAGTATAGAAGTGAACATTTTGGCATTTTTCTTTTTCTCTAAATATTTATACTACCAATTAGCACTATCCTTATATATTATACACATGATATACATGCATATACTATAAAAACAAATAAGACTTTTAATATAAAATAATGAAATTAAGCTAAAATTAAAATAATAATTAATACCATCTCCAGGTAAAAGCTTCCTTTTCTTTATATCCAATCAGAATCTGCTTTCTTGTAACTTAAGGCTTTATTTGTGTCCAATGCTCTGCAGTCTTCTTCTAGATGACAACTTTTCACATATAGAAGAGGGCTATTGTATTGTTTCCTTCAGTTGTCTTATCCCCAAGTGAAACCTATTTCAAATGATGCATTAATTTAGTAAAGTCCTTTTACAATAAAGTTGCTTTGAAGAATAGTCATATATGTAGTTCTCAACTTTCAATCCTAATTAGGACTGGAAATCTGGTTGTAAGTCATTACAATCGTTGGTCAAATCACTCACGTGACCAAAAGTTAACTTTATGGCTTTTTACATGGCAGTTGTTAAGCAAACCCATTCATTTGAATGACCTTTTTTTTGCTGGAAATTTGCAAAAAATGCCAGAAACCAGCAAAGAAAAAAAAAACATACTAAAATCACAGTCATGTGGTGACAGAATGCCACAATGGTTTGCAAAGCTGAACTGCCCAACATTCAGTCATGTGACTGTGTGGTGTGTGTGGTGTGTGTGGTGTGACCATTTACAACAGCTAGGTGTGCTCTACAGGTCATAAAGTACCTACTCTGTGGCTGTCATAACTTTGAAAGGTCAAGAATAACTGTTCGTAAGTCCCGGACGCTTGTAGCCAGTTGTGACTTAATCAATAAATAACATTTTTTCAAGTATATTTTCCTTAAGAGAATTTAAAAAAGCGGTGGGATTTTAAATTGAGCTTTAAGTTACTGTTTCTACCCTATAAAAAGCAAATTTCACACATTTTATTTTTGGCAAGGAATTAAAGTCGTCTGGTATTAAAAAGAGATCTACAGTTAAATATATTACTAGATTATACCAGTTTATACAATGTTTAGTTCTAAGTAACCATGCAGAGGATAGATTTAAAAAAAAAAATCATGTTAGATTATTATTTCAGAGCACAGCAATACCACTATTAAACACAAGATGGTGTCTCATCCTTTGCTATGAATAGTTAAGTTTCTCACAGGAATAAAAAAAGACCTGTGTCAATGAAGATTGAGAGACAGTTTGTTGTTGTGTTCAGGCTCAGACCTGAAACCAGGAGGTGGTGAGTTCAGTCCCGCCATAGGCACAAAGCCAGCTGTGATTTTGGACCAGTCACTTTCTCTCAGTCCAAGGAAAGAGGCAATTGCAAACAACATCTTAAAAACCTTGCCAAGAAAACTGCAGGGACTTGTCTAAGAATCAGACATGATTGAATGGAGGAAAAAAAAGGTTGCTATTGTTCAAAATAATCCATCTTCCACTTTTCAAAATCAATACACTTACAGTATTTTTTTTTCTAAGCGGTATACATGTAATAGAACAATGCTGAAAGATTCCAAAACATTGTAATTTGAGAAAATTGTGAATAATTTATCCAACATATAATTATTGCTATTGTGTAGTTATTATTCTTAGCAATGTTAATTATCATTATTAATGTAATTAATTCATCCCATTTCCAACAAATTTGTCAGGCGGATGATAGTAATTTATTGTATATATTTAAGAACTGCAGTGATTTTAAAAGTGGGATGCTGTATCAATATTTTTAAGCCATATTTATTTATATTGGTTTTTTTTAAAGGAACAAGCTATTTTTATTAACTTATACAGAAATACATTTAGTTAAAACAGTGTAAATCAGGGGTGTCCAACCTTGGCAACTTTAAGACTTGTGGACTTCAACTCCCAGAATTCCTCAGCCAGCAAAGCTTTTGGGAGTTGAAGTCCACAAGTCTTAAAGTTGCCAAGGTTGGACACCCCTGGTGTAAATGAATAAAAGGCAACAATGCAAATAGATTGCTCTCATTTCACTTCTTCAATCAATCTCTCTCTTCTACCTTCTGACAAATGAAAGTGTCAGCAAAATAGGATAGGAATTTGTTGGATCTCTGATTCTTGGTAGAATTTCAGCTGTTATTAGGGTGCTTTCATGGCCAGCTCAGACTCTGGGAGGAAATTGACAGTGAGCAGCCAGTTCTACAGTTGCCAGATGAACTACTACCTGAAGAGCTGCAAGCAGAGTAGGCTGCACTGCACCATTACATGCGATGTGCGATAGTGCTGAATTATGATACAACCAGTCCTCAAAGTTCCAGCTGTCACAGCAACCCCCTGGTCATGTCATTGAGATCTGGGCTTTCGGCACCCAGCTTATGATTATAAGGTTGCAGCATCCTACAATCATGTGGTCACCATTTGGGATGTTCTTGTTTCCAGTTAGCAAAGGGCAATGGTATATGGGAATGTCCTGGAGGGGAAAGGGGAATAAATATTTCTAGAGAATGATAAGAAAAGGAGGAGTCCCCAGTGACTTAATGATCAAATAAAGAAACTTAGGAAGGATCTGCCCTTCCTAAGTTTGGCTAGGCTGTTAAAAAATGACAGTGGGAGATTTGTACTTTCAGACTTGGAAGGTTCTGTTTACTAAGCCTTACAATAAATTAGAATAGCTCATCTGGTCACGTTTCTGTCTGGTTTATTTGGGGAGGCTGACACAAAATCAGTGGGGAAACCAGCAGGAGATCACAAAATGGTGACTATGTGATGTCCTCCCTTGATGATGATGTGAAATGAACCACTGGAAAGTGCTGAAACCACCATCAGTAAGTGATGGGATCACATGATGTCACACTTTATGACCATGCCATTTAGCAAAGGAAATTCAAGTCCCAATTCTCATTGTTAAACAAGGATGACCTATATATATACTTTCCAATCCAACAGAATTTTGAAAAGAAGTTCTATAAGGAGGCTTGGAATTTTCTCTGCCTGCCTGTCTACAAAATAATGTTTTGGGAACTGTAGACGAGCAAGCTTGATGCTTGGAAGTGGCAGAAGAACGACCAAATTCAAAAATAAGCTGGATCACAGCTGTGATCTATGAAGTGGGAAAAAAAATCAGGAACCCCCCCTTCCGAATATATTTTGATATGAAAAACTGCTATACAATGGTTTGGAATGTTGTTGACTGTTCCATTCTAAGCTCCTTTACATCTTAATTTACCTCCTGTTGAATTGACACAGAGTGGTATCCTGTGTTTTTCTGTGCATTGTCAAAATTACCGATTTTAGAAATAATAAATACTTATAAGATGTATAGATTGTAATTTTAAGACAATTCGTGATCAAAGATTAAGTTCTATAAGATATGTTGTTTATGCTATTGTATTAAGAAAAGAACTTATATGGACCTTGGACTTTGTTAAATATGATTAAACAAGTAGTTAAACTTAAAAACATGGATAAAATTGTATTAATTTAAAATATTGTCATTTAATGCTATTTTTAATGTTCTATGCTAATTTATTACATCTCATTTTAGTGTGAATTTGTCAAGATTGCTTTAAAAAAACTGACAACCATGTTTTTCTGCCTATTATATTTAGGTAATGTGGGTGTGTAATTCATGTCGAAAACAACAAGAAATCCTCACAAAATCTGGAGCATGGTTTTATAGTGGAACTAACACCCCACAGAAGTCTGATCAAGTGGGTTTTAGAGGACTGCAGAATGAAAAAGCACCTCAGGACAAAAAAACAAAGCTGCAAGAACAGTCAGTCTTGGAACGAAGCAGATCTCAAGGGATTACAAGGCAAGGGTCCATAAACGGATCAGGAGGAAAGGTGGTGGGTGACACAGCAGACAGGTAAGGAACTGGCTTGGTTTATTTTGAAAAAAAGTTGCTATCTTGTTAATATATTCTATTAGCAAGAATTTAAGGATATATTTAACTACTTTTAGAAGTTGGCAGGTTTGTTTTATATATCAGCATGATCTTGTAAAGCAGGGGTTGGCCAGCTTTTTCCATGTAGGAGTGAGGACATGCCTGAGAGTTGATGATGGACCACATGCACTTTTTCAGAAAATAAATATACAATACTAATAAAACATAATAAATTATGAATGTTTATTTTATTTAAGTAATATTAAATCTTAAGGACACAGCAATTAAGGCTTGATGCTGTTTGTTGTTCAAGAGCAAGATGGGAGTAAATCAGGGACAAGTCTTGGCCACTACCACTCCTTCCCCTCCCTCTTTCTGCGTCCTTATGGCTGCAGCCCCATTCCTGCTGCCATCTCTCCCTCCATTTTCCAGGCTGGTCTAATGCCTTGGTCTTACCTGAATGCCACACTCACTGCAACGGAGGGATATAGGGCACCAAAGATTGTGAGGGGAAAACCAGGTAGGTTGACTGCAACCGTAGTAAATGTAGTCTATTGTTATTACTGGAAATTTATGTGTTTTGGAGTTTATTTGGCAAGTTTTGACAGGCCAGTATAGGTAAGCCCATTCCTCAGAAGTGATAGCCTAACCACCTTAGTTCGTAATCTGGTAACTTTATCTTGCTACAGTATAAGTGCCTTTGATAGGCTTCACAAACTGCAGCTGGTGTAAAATGTAGTGATGATATTGCTGTATGGAAATGTTACAGGTGAAATTTAGTTCCCTCAATAGTTCCTTCACATCTTCATATTTAAACCTTCATATTTTCATATCTTCATATTTAAACCTTCCATCCAGTATAAAGATCTATCGAGGGGGTTTTCCTCCCACAGTCAGAAATGATACATTGCGCAAATACTTGATAGTTCAGTTATGCAGATAATACATATCTATTAGCAGTTATAAAAAAATGTAAAAGTGTTAAAAAAAAACCAATCCCATTGTATTCACTGAGATCTGAGTTTGTGTGAAACTTTTTGATGTATGTGAGTTCAGCAATTTATCACTAGATGGTGCTGTTAATTTTTTTTTCCAAAACAGCCACTTTGAAGTCTATCATGAAGTGTCCTGGGAAATTGAAATGGTCTGATATTACTTTACTCTTGTTTTAAGTCCTATTTGGTCTACTCTGAGATTTGTCCTAACAAATACAAGATTAGAAGTGCCTTTACATGCTCTTCCTACAATTTAATATATGCCATTGTCTGCCAGCAATGACCCTCTGGATTCTATATAGGACAAATGAATTGTTCCAAAAATTAGTGGACACATTTGACATTAAGATGGAGTGTAATAAACTGGTCTCTTACTCTAGGGCTTCGGACAACTAGTGGATTCATGTAGGCAATGTATGAAATTGCCTGGATATCTTTGACAAATTTTTATAAAGCCACTTATCTGATACTACTGAGACAAAGAACTGGAACCATTGCAAAATAATGTTTTCAAAGCCCAAACTTATCAAATATATTCCATGACTTTTAAATTTGTCTGTCTATCTACCAGTATCTGTATGTCTGTTAAGGGGGTCAAGAAAATTAATAACAGTACAGTCCCCCCACTCCTTATGCAACCTATTTAAATTTCAGAGTTATTTTGCATCAAGAAAATATAGGTAGTTCTTCTGAAAAAAAAAATTTGTGACTGGCCTTTATAGAACAGTCACTTTCTTTCTGCAGAGCCTGCTCTCAACATTAAACAAGTAACCCGATACAAAAATATTGCTTACTTTTGTTTTAGTGGAAACTAGGTTTCTTAAAAAATGAGAAGAAACAGGAAAGACACTGGAATGCAGTGACTTTTAGCAGTGATGCCTATATAAATGACTTTCAGTCAGGATTCAAGCCTGATTTTGCAACCAGCTCTCTAATGCAAAGCAAGGCTGTTCCGCTTTTTAGCAACATTGTTTTTTCCTTGGGCAGAGGAATTTGCCACAATTTTGACAGGCTAACAGTATTTGCAGGACATGTTTAACCAGAAAGGCACTTTTAATTCAAATCCATGTGGAGTTCTTTGAACTCCTTCCTAGACCCACAGCCGACTGAGGTTAGCAGTTCATGCCACACACTTTGCTTGTGGCACAAGCACGTCATTTGAATGTATATACAGTTTATAGGTGCTGCACATGCTGCCACACTTCTGCTTTGAAGCATAGCCCCCACAGGTACTTTTTCACCTTGTGTTTTCATCTATAAGAAGCACGGGGAAATGGTTATTGCCGAGTATTTAAATGTTAGATCACGTCTGCATTTTTCATCTGGGGTTTGAATGTTCTTCCCTATAATTGTCTTGTTTTATTCTACAAGTGCACAAGACTGCTAGTTCTATGGTTCTGAGCAGTAAAAACAATTATAGAGGATTTCCCCCCATTATGGCCCTGGGTACCATGGGTGATAGATGGGGTTATAGTTTTTGAGGGTTTTTGTATATTGGCGTGGGGGTGTGAAGTTTGGTGATTTCTTCCACTGTGCGATACATTGCCAGCAACACTGGGGAGCCAAGGGTTACCAAGGGAGGATGTGAAAAGCAACAGAGGCAGCGGCTGAGAAATAGCAAAATCCTGTTTAGATCTGGCTGGACAGCGGTGGACTGGTGGAGGGGCAGCAAGTAGCAGATTCGCAGCTTCAAAAGTGTGGAAGGGCATGGCTGTCTGTCAGCAGAGCCTCGTGGGGCTAGGATCAGCTACTTTCAGTGCAGCTGACTGGTGGCATTTGACAGGCTCCTGAAGGCACAGTGATGCAGAGGGGAGGAAATCAGGTTAACAGTAGCCTTATTTTTCATTCTCCACCTCCTGGCTTGCACCGAGAACAGGAAGGTGGTTGGCTGGGCCAGGCAATTATGGCGGGGTGTCCATGGCTACAGCTTCCTGGGAGTAAGACTCCTTGCTTGAAAGAGGGTGAATGCCAAGACAGACAGCAGCAGTGGGATCTGGAATAGGTGGTGGCCTTGTGGAAGAACGGACTTGGGTCTTGTGGCGGCTGTTTGGCTGCCCAAATGGCCAACACTCGTCTTGGCAGCGTCTTCTCTTTCTCTGGGACTCAGAATTTAGATGGATTGGCATGATTTCAATTATGGTGGCCTGTAGGGGAAGACTTGCATTTGCAGCATATGTTTTTTTTTAAAACTGTTATTTGTTATTTTGGAGAGGGGGCTGAATGAAGCTGGACTTGTCTCCTGCCTTTGGGTAAGAAATGGAGAAGATCAGGTTTAGTTAACATCAGTCCCTTCATAGAAAGAGGGTGAGATCTGAAGAAAAGAGTGAGATCTGAATAAAAGAGAGGCTTTTTCAATCAGTTTATCCCAAGTGACTGAGGGACCTGGAATGTGGATTCTGCACTTGTGGATCTTGCATGGTTCCTTGGTTATCTGAGGAACTGCAGGAGGTAAAAAACAACTGGTTTCTCCATTCCCTTCAAGTCTGCAAGAAATCCCTAAAGCCCTGCCTGCTGGTGAAAGATAAGGAGTGAAACTGATCTGTCACAGATAAGAGCCTTTATTAAAACTTATGATGATTAGAGTAGCAAGGTGAGTTTACTAATCTACTCTTTTTGTGTTGCAGTTAGATGGCCAATGGCCCTATTAAGAATGATCAGGTCCCTTTTGGGTAAGGAGAGATTGGAGGAGCCTTTATAGAATAGCTATGAGGAATATTCTCATCTGTTGGATAATGTCATTCAATTTGTCTTGGAATTAGTTGTTGGCTGAGCATGTACTGTACTTTGGAAGTGACTGAGCCACGTCTGAGCTTGGTTATCTGGGAGGAATTTGAGCTCGTTACTCAAGTCTCTTGCTCTTCTTCAATGTCTACATCAGAGGTGGTATTCAGCAGGTTCTGACCAGTTCTGGAAGAAACTTTGAGTGGTTCGGAGAATCGGCAAAGATCACCTCTGACTGACCCCGTCCCATCTACTTTCTGCCTCCCAAGTCCCAGCTGATTGCCTGGGTCTTCTTTTGTTGCCCTGCACAGGAGAACGGAGCTGGAAAGCAGGCTAGTGGGGGGTGGAGGGAATGGAGATTTTACAATATCCTTCCCCTTCCATGCCCGCTAAGCCACACCCACCAAGCCACACCCACAGAACCGGTAGTAAAAAAATTTGAATCCCACCACTGGTCTACATGAGACCTCTGAAAATGCTATCTGGTAGTGTGAGGTATGGTATTATCAATAGGCTGATGATTTCAAGTTCTACATTTCCACATTGGCCAGCCAAGTAATATGTTGGCTTAATGTCAAAGACTTGAAGGGAATGGAGAAACCAGTTGTTTGATTCTCCCGGGTCTATTGATATGTCATTCTTGTTTGGGTAGCTCTCTCCCAGACATAGTTGGTGTACAATCTTGGGGTCTTCCTTGACTTATGGTTTCTGCTCGCAGAACAAATAGCAGTCCTGGCTAAGGGTGCTTGTTTGTACAGATCCATCTTGTGTATCAGTTGCACCCATTCCTGGTCTGAGAAACCTTGTTCATGGTCATTTCCTGGTTGATTACTGTAATCTGCTCTACATAGGGCTGCCCTTGAAGACCATGCAGAAATTACAACAGATCTAGAATGTGGCATCACTGTTCTTTATGGTCAGTCCAGACTTCAAATGGTCTCTGCCCCCCTTCCAGCAGGTGGCAGCAGGTTTGCAGTGCCCATCTCACCATAAAAGATTCTCTTTCCCATGTAGCCCATTACCTCTCTGTGTCCGTGAGCTTGTGGGAGGTGTAGGCGCAGGGCTGCAGGCTTCCTTGGTTATTTCTTTGGAGTAAAACTGCTCCCACTGCCACATCACTGGTGTCCGCTTGAATGATGAAGGGTTATTCCGGGTCAGGATGCTTCAGCACTGGTTCTTTTGCAAACTGTTCTTTCAATGTTTCAAATGTCTTTTGGCAGGTTAGGTCCCACTGTAGAGGTTGCCCTGTCTGGGATTTCGTTCCTG